TTAATTTCGTTTAGTGAGTTTAGCTTACTTTAGTTTACGTTTTAAGTTAGCTAATTTTAGTTTTAGTGAGTTATTTTTAATTTGGTTAATTTCCAATATTTGCAAAATTGCACACTTTAGTTATGGCTTGCGTTTTGTTCAGACACATTTTACTAGTTAAAAATTATTCCTGTTTTTTACCTTGAAAATTTTTTTTATTTATATTTCCTTTCCTTCTTATTGCCCGGACAGGATACCGTTTAAAACACCCTGTCCTGTATAACAGAAGGATGGGCCTTTCGCGTGCTGATCTGGGACCCAATGTAGTATTCTACACAAGGCACAGACTAGTTGGAACCTTACCCAGTTCGAGCAAAATTTTCCCAGTACTGCATGACAGTTGCGCTCAGTCCTGCCTCGGCCTCTGCGTACTTATAAAATTCGCGCTTAAATTTGCTCAGAAAATGGCATCACGAAGACGTAGTCGATTTCATAGCCGTGCATTACACCCGTCCAGTCCGGTAGCCCGTTCTCGCGTGTTTTGTGCACAAACGTGTAGACATAACCCGCGGCATTGGGCAGCTGCGCATTCCGTTGGGAAAATTTCTGCGTTCCACAGGTGAACTCAATGTCACCGGAGATGGCGTCCATGCGATGCATGAACGCGCTCGAATCGTCTACCACGGATTCCGAATCCTTCAAACGTAGGCAGCGGCCATGCCACTTCTGAGTATATCGTTGATTCTGTTGTCCAGGTTCTGTTTGCTCATAAACTCTGCTTTGAGTAGGTTGTAGATGTTAAATTTGGCTGTCTCGAAGGTGGCCGCATCTGGCAGGGAGACGGTGCCATTTTCAGCCCAAGCCCATGTAGAAGCCAGTTCATGCCCTCAATCTTGCAGGCTCTCCACTCCTGCCGTCAGCAGACGGAGAGAAACTAATAGTCTTGCTAAATTGAAGACATTTCTCTGCGCCTCTGTCGATCAGAGGGTGCCCGCAGGATATGCAACACTCCATATTTATGTATGTGCAAAGAGTATGGCGTGAAAAGAAGAGGAGAGGGTTAGGTGGGTACTGCATGTTGCACCCTATCTTCATTCCTGGTGTGGAGAGCAGGGGGGGGGCAGGTTGATCGTCGCTCTCGCCAATTTACGCTTACTCTGTTAACGAGACCTCAAGGGGGGGAGGACTGATCGTCGCTGGGGCACAACGACGATCGATTTCCATGCTGCCTTTAGTGTGAGATGAACGGGGTAGCAGGACATGGACAAACTGGTTCTCACGCTAATTTAATCACATAGCATGTACAACTCGAGCCTGCGCGGCCTG